TGTTGAGGTTTATCTATGCATTTCTAGGTTACTTACTATTAGTCGCTGAGACATTCAATATTACTTCCGCTTGTTTGTGGAGCAGTATTACGTCTAGGATATTCAAGCATTTCATGCCAAAGATGAAGTGACCTGTAGAGGTCCTTAGTGAAAAATTAAAAATAAACAAATTGAGTTTTAATAACCTTGTTGCCTAGTTTCGAATTTCTACCTTTAAAATATCTAATTACAACCTAAGACTACCAGAAACGACTTGAGACTTGCAACAATCTCCTTGGTAGAACTCTTCAACTTGAGGCTTCCATACGCATCTTGATACTTTAAGTTAGTTTAATGTTAAAAGCAAAGCGAGTTGAGATTTTCAGAACTATCTATTAAAATTGGAAGGTCCATGATGCAATTGAAAGACCTTTAAGAACCTTTATTTTTAAAGGTCACAAATGTTCAACCTCATACGCCACAAGAATTACTTTGTCGAAGTGAAATATTCAATGTTAACCTTTCAATACCTTTGCTCCATTTAGGTTAGAAATACTTAACCACCAATGCAACTCGTTCCCACACAAAAGTAAACAACGTGAAAATCGTTTACTTTTTCTTTTCAATTTCCATCATCAAAAAGGTGAATGTTGATTTCTCTACGAAGAGGTTCGAAATGTTCTAATGAATTAATAACCTCATTTTTATGAGAACATTTTTATTTTGTGGCTCGAAATATTTAAATACTTCATTCCTTTGAAGTTAGAAATATTTCATGAATCTCAGATACGCAATTGAAAAACGTCAATATTGACTTGAAAAACCTCTACAGAGGTTAGAAATATTTAACCTTAGCATTCTAAGATCTCTCTTTTATTAGGTTCTAAAAGTAAGAATAACAATACTCAATTAATTAAATTAGAAGTTTGTGGCATGGGCGATCGAAGTCACGGTAGCTCAAGTGGTAGAGCAGCGGCATATTAATTCCATCCCTAACCATCCCTAACCATCCCGAAAGTCGTGGGTTCGAATCCCGCCTGTGACACAAGTTTTTCATTTCGAAAAAATTTGTGTATAATTAATTGAGTATTTATATATTTAATAGAAGCTGATAAAATTTAGTATTAAGAATAACAATATTAGTTTTTTATATATGTATTTTTTATGAGAGTATTTCTACTACGAGGTTATATAGAACCCTGAGCCGGAGGTTTTGAAAAAAAGCCCATTTGAAAGTATGTAGGGTTTGAAAGCAGGGCCGCTCGATTCGAACCCGGGACCATTACGTTAGTGATGAGCGCCGTGTCAACGCCTAAACTGTTGCGGCCACTCACGCCCCTTAACTTTATTAGTAAAGCAAGGAAAAAAGAAGAACCTTCTTTTTGGTGGTTCAAAATATTTATATTGTCAAGAATATTCCATATCCAAAGTAAAATAAAAAGAAAAGCATAAATCCAGTAAACTTGTAGGCATAAATCCAGTAAATCTCCATTGTAGTTCGAGGTAGTACCTCAGACATCCCAATATTTCACTCATTGAGGTTAGAAATGCATGGTTCTTCAAGAATCTCACGTACGCAATCGAAAAAAGGTAATATTGACTCCAAAAAACCTTCATAGAGGCTAGGAATATTTAACCTTAGAATTACAAGAACCCGAAGTAATTAATTTTCTAAAAAACTAGTTACCATATAAATTAGAAATACAAATTATAAAGGTGGGGTATGTTGTTCAACCACTTCTTGCAAACTCTGAGTAAAAACTATCTTTTAAGTAGAAATGCTGAAACTGGGTAGGTTGATAAAATAAACCTTAGATTCTCAAGAACATTCTTCATTGTGGTTCGAAATATTTAACCTTACAAGAAAAATTTTCCCATATGATACATTAAAATTATCCAAGGGAGACTGAAAAACTCTCTTCATTGAGGTTCATAATATATAACCTTCAAGAATCTCATAGACAACCAGCATTGACCCTGGAAGAGGTTAACTATATTTAACCTTATCCTTACAAAAAGAACATCTAATCTCAGAAGAATCGTCCAATCTTAAGAAACTATGTATCCTTCCTGTATTTCATATATAACCTTCAACCTCAATATATAACCTTCAAGAATCTCATAGATAACCAACATTGACCCTGGAAGAGGTTAAAAGTATTTAACCTTATCCCTACAATAATAATAATAATAATAATAATAATAAGTTTATTGCACAAAAGAAGAAAAAAGAAAAATTACATATAATTCAAACAAGAAAATAAACTTAATACGGCAAGGTAACCGTCTGCCGGATTATCCTTACAAGAAAGAACATCTAACCTTAGACGAATCGTCCAATCTTCAGAAAATATGTATCCTTCCTGAATTTCATATATAACCTTCAACCTCAATATATAACTTTCAAGAATCTCATAGACAACCAACATTGACCCTGGAAGAGGTTAAAAATATTTAACCTCATCCTTACAAGAAAGAACATCTAACCTTAGAAGAATCTTCCAATCTTCAGAAACTATGTATCCTTCCTGTATTTAACCTTAGAAGAAACCGAGATTCAATTACTAACACATTTGCAACAGAGTCAATAATAGACAATCTACAATAATCTCCTCAGCAGTTCGAAATCTTAAGCCTTATTCTTAAGAAAACCTGCTCCATTGTTATCGAAAATAACTTCTCAAGAGTTCATTAGTTTTCGTGGTCCGCTTGACCAATTAATATATTTCAATTAATTAAGGTTTTTTGTTGAGATAAAAAGTCAGGTGTCCCGAGCGGGATTCGAACCCACGACCTTCGGCTTGATACGCCGGCTGCTCGACCACTTGTGCTATCGTGACCTCGATCCACTCGGACACTAACTTCCCATTTCAACCCAAAATTTTGGATTTTCCCTCCTTTTTGCCATTTTTAAAATGTGTAATATATTTGATTCTCGGCGACAAATGAAATGGCCGCGGAGAGCTTTAGTGAAGATACACTGCTCTACCACTTGAGGCTATCGTGATCTAGAGCTGCGGCGTATCTAGCCGAAGATCGTGGGTTCGAATCCCGCTCGTGACATTGACTTTTTATCTCATCCAAAAACCTTAATTAACTTCTCAAGAATCATCATCCTTTCCAGAATGAACCTAAGTTTAGAAATATGTAACCTTAGTCTTCCAAGAACTATGCTCCATCGAGGTTAGAAATTTTTAACCTCCAATAAACTCAACTCATTTAAATAAGAAAAAAGTTAAAGTATTTAACTTCGGACTTTCAATAATACACAGTTTACAAATTACCAACTGGAGACTTAAAAAAAATAGAAATGTACATTTTGCTTAGAATTGTTTTCAACCTGTGAGTTCTCGGTCATGACATTTCTAAACATCGCTATCTTGAGATTAATTTTGTCGTTTTGTATATTTTCAGGTATTTCATGTAAATTTGATAGTTTTTTGATATTTCACTTTTTTTTTAATCTTGACGTTTTGTACATTGAATCGTTTGTGTTAAGAAGATCTTACGTTCTGACTTCCTCATATGTTGAAAGCATCTATCCTGAAAAATCGATATAAGATCATGATATTTCGACAAACATCAATGTAGGTTTTTAGTATTTTGAAGATATTGCTACATTATGAGAAACATCAGAATAAAACAGGATAACACCTCGATAAAATTGGTCCGGCATAAAACGGAATGGTCATCTCTTTCCACTAACCATCGGGGGAACAGCCCCTCCTCATCGATAATACATCGCCACTGCCCGGACTGGAACCGGGCCAAATCCCGATAAAATAGAAGATTGGGACCTGCATTGTTTCCTGGAGGGCCGTTTTGCCTCCGAGCCTGGAAAATTTGCCCCGATCTGGAAAACCAAGCCGGCATCCGCGCGATCGACGTTTATATTCATAGGAGATTTTGAAGGGAGTGGAAAATTCGCGGAGTAATGTCTTAAGCACTGTTTGTAGACTTGAGACTATACAGGACTTAATCTGTTTGTCGAACTACTCTCGACTACGAGGCCTGGTTATAACAAGAAAATGCGAACTCTTCAGTATACATTTATTAAGATTAGCAATATAAATTCTATTCTTGTTAGATAGTTCTTTTTTCCCCATTTGATAGTATTATAACTATAATGTAAAGCTGGGCATGCTAGAGATTTTAATTTTACGCAACAAAGTAGAACTTACGATAATCAGTTTTTTAATAAATGGAAATTTTCTCGAATGTTAAAGAATAAAAACGGTTTCAAGAAATTCACAGCGTGTTTTCTTTTTTTATTCATCGACCCCTGCGTAAATTGTACCTTTTTTCTATCCTCTGCCGGCCGAGACCGGATGCGATTTACGTACTCGGGGACTGCCAAAGCGGCGAAGGCGAAAAGCGAAACAATTTTCCGCAAGTAGGAGTTAAAATTACTTCTCTCCTGAAGAGGAGCATTTAGTTACAAAATCGACCCTGGCTATTCACTCCTAAGTATTTACGACCGGACGTTATGAAATATTTATGCGGCTGCCGGGGAGCGTTGGTTGCCGTCCAAATACATTATGACACCGGGGAACCGTTAATTCCACCTGGAACAATATACACCGGCAATATATTTACGAAATTAATTGACACTTTATTTTGGTTTATATTGATGATGTCTCTCCTAGTGGGAGGCGACGTGGGAAGAAACGGTTAGCTCTGGTTGGGCTTTGGGACCGACTTTCACGCTGGAAATATTCCTCTTTTCTAGCCCTATCAAAAAAAAAAGGTAGACTTTTAAGAAATTAACATTAGCAAAACTACGAACTACATTATATTTAAATGTTTAATTCATTTTTAGTAAATAAATAAACAATAAACCGGCCTAACAGTGCAGCAGCGACCTGTACTGCCAACCGGACCGAGCAATTCAGTTAATATCATTTTCTTAACCTTCTCTGCGTTGAAAAATATCCGTACGTTTAACCTCAATAACATCTCGGAGTTATGACAAATCCACACGGATTATCTCTAATCTTGGATACCGGACCCTTGGCGTGTACCTTGTGAAGAGGGCGGCGAACGCCCATGCCAGCAGACAGATCAGCATGGCTCTCGTCTTGGTGCAGACATAGCCGGCTCGCAGGGGCTCGCAGATGGCGTAGTATCGTTCGAAGCTGATCGCCAGGATCGTGAGAACGGAAGCGTGTGCTACAGTCAGCTCAACAAACGGCACAGCTTTGCCTGTAAACACAAAGAAACACGTCAGAAAACGTATTAAAAAAATTCCCACCCTAAAAACAACACATAACATGATACCTAAGAGCATACAGTTAATGAACTTTCTTATCATATCCAGTACAGAAATACTCTGTTTATGTAGTAAGGTAGAAGAAGCTTCAAAATTTTTCCCTCCAAGAATCAACCTGCATCTTTCGGTAAAGACATCTCATCAACACGGGACAAGGATATACCGTCTGATAATCCGCCCAGAAGACTTTTCTTCTATACATAATAAAACTCACGAGGAAGCAGAAAAAAGCCGAAGTATTGTGGGTTTTAGTCGAATGGAATATTGGGAAAGATAAGAAATTCTCTCTGACTGTAAAATCCTGACAGAACAGGACAGTACGTTAAACCGGCGGATTAATTTGAACAAGAAGATAGATAGATATACTTTATTTACAAAATGAAAAAAATTTACAGTTAAAAATAAAAAACAGTATTATTATGGCAAGGTATTAAAACCGTCAGCCAGAGTTCGGAGTGCATTACTATCCCAAGAATATGCATAATTATATAATTATAAGAAAAGGAGAATTTAAAATATCAACTTCAGAGGTTACAATTATTTACAGGATTTTCAAATTACAAGGTTGAATTGCGATAAACTTTGAAAATAATAAAAATGACACTTCAAAGATCAAAAGGATTCTAACTTACAAAGGGTCCCCCACAGGCCAACAGAATTCGCATTTAGAAGCCCACAAACTAGAAATTGTATGTATTAAGACAAACAGAACAAAAAAAAAAAAAAAAAAAAAAAATAAGACGAACAGAATATTAATTCCCTACATTCCAATGTATTCATATCTGTAAACAAAGGCTTTCCGAGCAAAATCAACAAGACCCCGGCAATCGGAGCCGTTCAGAAGGGCTATGAGCTCTTCCCTCGTCAGAAAACCCTTACCCACATACAGATACCTCAATTCGTTAAGGACCGAGCATCTAGCGAGAAAATGAAATGCATCCTCACGATCACCTGAGTTGCATAGAGAGCACACTGCAGCGGCAGGAGTACTCCCAACCCAAGGCCTGAAATTCAGGAACATCTCCCCTCGAATTTTAAACCACCAGCGGAAAAAAGAGAACGGGACATCATTTGCTGGAGCAGAAAAAACATTGCAAGGAGTTAGGGAATGATTCAACTCCTTGTAGAGTTGGAATCTATTTGAGTCCACGGCACGAGAAATACAACTCTCTCGATGACGAGCCCCCAAAATATGAAGAAGATTGGAAAACATTTCAGACCACGCTGCAAATGAACAAGAAGACACGGAGAGTTTAGATAAAAGATCCAGGATAAAAACGTTTTTAAACTACCTTTGAGGCTATAAATTCAATCGTGTGACCTAAAGCTGAAACTGATTTATAATAACAGTCAAATTCACCGAAAAATGAAGAAATTACGAGAAAGGACAATGATCCTTAGTTAGGTACTATATTCTATTCTCCTATTAATGTAATAACACTATACGTAAACTAGCTGAGTATTAATATATGTAAGGCACGTAAGTATAAAACGTAAGACAGTAATGTGTGGTGATTAGTGACCTTGATTTAAATATTATTTTTCATATCGGAGCTGTTTCTTTTGGTGTGTTCGATAAACTTTTATTTTCGCTAAAAATAATTATTTGTCTTTAACAAAATATAATATACCGATATTTTATTTATAAAATATAAATTTTAAATTAATATCAGCACTAAATATTAATATATTAGTGTGATTGCTAAATTTATAACATTTCGCGTTTATGCTTATTCGGAAATCGTGAGATGCGGTCTGGTGTAACGTAGGCTTTAGAAAAACATTTTCTTTATCGTGCCAACGTTTCGATCTTTATTGAGATCATCTTCAGGGCTCAAAGTGTTTGTTTTCTGCGTAATTGTGCCATTCTTGCGTGTCGTGTTGAGGGGCACACTCCGAATAATAGTAAGACAGTAAGTTGGGGTCTGCTGTTTCGGTCGGATTTGAAAATCGTATATTGAAAAAGTATTGTCATATGGTCTTTGCCCACCACTCTTGTTGGTTCGGAATTTCTTTACTTTTTAATTTTGCTTACGTTGTGACAAAATATTACAAAGCAATGTGTTGCAAAATATTAAAAGACAAAGTGATAATAAAAAACTAAATCAGCATTATACACGTTCTATGATATAGTTTTTCTCATTTTTAGTTATTCATAGATTTTGTTCTCATTCATAAAAAGGACTACCATTTGGCCCCAGGGACGAAATGAAAAGGATGTTTGTATACAAACAAATTTCCGGACAGAAAATACTACCAAAACAGAAATGGAAAAAAAGGAAAGACCATTCAGCTGAAAACGACACCATCTGATGGTACAATGATGGATCCAGAACGCAAGAACGAATATATTATTACATCTTACAATGCAATAACATGCCAATAAACTGAATACTTTTCTGTTCTGTTTACACATTGAGCATAAAATATAATAAAACACCACTCGAAGAAAGACGGAAGACAATCAGTGAAGTGATGTACATGAGGATATTTTGCATTCTGTTAATCGTGATCCCGAAACCAGTACACGTGCGTGTTTACCAACCAGTAGACCTGTTTTACAATGGAGTAGTTGGGATACCTTCCGTTTTACGAGGGTGATTGACGTAGATGAGGAAGAAATCAACTCACTGCTCGTGGTCATTTCGTTCCAAATTTTGCACCCCCTTTCTTCGAGTGAAAGAATCAGTTTCCCTCAGCCTCTGATGAAGTGGTTGGAAGGTGCGATTTGCTAGAACGTCTTAATGTGGAAAACGAGCTTGGTATTCTCCCCTTGCAGCAGTAGCATTACCGTTGTAGTAACCGTAAATGAAATAAATATCAGCAAGATGTGCATTAGGAAACAAGGACATAATTTAAATCACCAACCTGAGGAAGTTGTCAGTTGATAACGTAAAGCAAACTGATTGAATTGAACATTAAAGAACTAACACGAAACTGAAGAGGCAAACGGATTTCCTGCAAAAATTGAACGTGCCCACATCATCGACATTTTTTTTCAACAAAATGCAAAATTTTTGGGCCTTCCAGAAGAGCAATCCAAAAAGGTGGGCATACTGCTGGAAGCTAATTGAACGGAGAACTTTTGAGGGAATTTGCAAAGCTTCAGGAGTTTCTAGTTATTAACAGTTACCAATCCAACATTTAAAAAATTCCAAATTTCAACATTATTTTTCTAAATTTTTCGTAGAATGTTTTCAATGAATATTTTCAACAATTCTGCGATGTAAATAGGTTTCCTTACAGCAAATCTAACGTTCTTTCACGTGGCATAAACCAGATTTAAGTCCAAAAATTTAAAAAAAACTCCAAAACCTGAAATTACTTATTTACCGTTGAGATTTGGACAGGGGTGTATAGGAAGTTTGTAGTATACAGTGAGTATATATCGTAGTTTCGTTGGAAGCATTTTTAGAAAAGGTTATTTATTATAGCAGCTACCAGGTTGAGTCTCTGGCTACGGTTTCTTTAACAAAAATATTTGTGTTCGATAACTAAAACTTCAAAGATATATTTTATCGCTTTGGCCAGACATTTTGCTTAAGTCGGTGAGGTGATGAATATTTAGTTCAGTGGTCAGGCTAATTGGTTTTGTATGTCGTATCGGCCTATTTCCGTATCTCTGGACACACATTTTCTCTTCTCCTCTCTTTATCAAATCCTCCTAAAATTATAACAAGGCTATTCACTCAATCTGTGAATCGATTTTGAATACTAAACGAACTTTCAAGTGGGAAGTACCATCACAATGGCATCAAAATTGTACACAATTCAATTAATAAATTTATATGCAAGGTATTGGTTGAGATAAAAAAGTCAGTGTCACGAGCGGGATTCGAACCCACGACCTTCGGCTAAATACGCCGCTGCTCTACCACTTGAGCTATCGTGACTTCGATCCACTCGGACACTAACTTCCCATCTCAACCCAAACTTTCGAATTTTCGCTCCTTTTTGCCATTTTTCAAATGTCGTGTAACCTATTTGATTCTCGGCGACAAATGAAATGGCCACGGAGAGCTTTAGTGAAGATATGCTTCATTTACATTATTAAATCCATTAGATTTCGTGGTCCGATTGGTCGTGGGTTCGAATCCCGCTCGTGACACTGACTCTTTGTATATCAACCAATACCTTACAATTAATTCAATTAATTAATTGAAAGATGTTATTTTAGGGGACCGCGGTAGCCGAGTGGTTAGCATGAGAGACTCGCACGCCGCGGTCGTGGGTTCGATTCCCACCGTCGCGTCTGGTCCTTTTTTCACGATGTATGAACAGACATACAAGAATTCGTCACCATGGTTAATATGCATAGATCATAAGGAAAAAAAATGCTATTTGGTCTATCGGACCACGAAATCTAATGAATGTATTTAATTTTTTTTCTGTGTCGACCTAAAATTTAGTTCATATATAAATCGACCTCTCATGCCGTAAATTTACTTTAAATTTTATATTATTTCAGGTTTATAACTTTTTTTGCAATAAAGTATATATCATTTTTATTATATAGTAATTACAGATATGTTGCCTGTATTAAGGAGCGTTAAGCACGTGTACTTAATTTCTCAAAGATCAATACTCTGCGCAGTTAAGTGCAATAATTAAGAAAGGTACCCCCTGTAAAAGCCTATCGAGGTTTAAGGCACAGGACCAAAATAAAGGATATCATGGATGATATTCTCTTGAAGACCCATCTTCAGAGTTGGTTCCAAATGGATGGGTGTCATCCAATTATGGAAAAGGTGTTACAGAATGGATAGGATAATAGTCCTCGTCGAGTGATACGGCCAGCCCAATCAAAGATTTAATTCCGATGGACTTGCACAAACGAGAAACCCTTAAAAATGAAGTCTATTTCGTTTCTGTCACAACTAAGGACGAGTTCATAGAAATGATTCAAGAATCTGCTCTTATGCGAGAGGAGAAG